TCGCCATGCTGATGCAAATCGGGAGTAGATGTGTACGAGGGGGGGCGGGGGGCGGAGAGAAAGTGGACAACAGGCTGTGGTGGAGGAAAGTGAATAGGCGAGCATCGAGTGAAATACTACACCGAATCCGGCGTGATTAACTGTCATGGCGACCGCGTATTTCGTCTATGACAGGGTCAAACACATGTAGACAGTAACACGTAAGTGCAAAAGTGACTGGTGGTGCTGCCAATCTGCAGGGGCGAAGATGTGCCCGGACTTGTTGCCTTGCGTGAGTTGCGAGGCTGAGGGGAGACCGTTCGACGAGGAGCATCTTCTCGGTCAAGTGGGCCGAGAGTCGTTCCAAGGAGCTGGTTTCATCTGCCTCTCGGCACAACTTCCTCCGTCTCGACCGTAGTCGTAAGCAGTTGCAAATGATCGCAAGCAGGCTCGGGCTGCCGAAAAGTTGCATCAGTGGAAATGACAAAAAAGCTGTTCATGTACCGTCTGAGGAGGTTGTAAGTGTGATAAACCGCTTCCTACCAGAAGACCAAATTCACATTCTTTATGGTCAGCTGTTGTTTTGCTCTACTGGAATGTTCTGGATGACGCTTTTCTGGAGGCAATCTCCTTCGAATTCTGAAATATAAATATGACATTTCCACTGAATTTCATATAGCCTTACTTCCTCAAAAGCTATTCACCTCCAAGCAGGAGTAGACCTCAGTTTCGACCCCGCCTACGCCTTATCAACACCCTCAGCGGGACTCGAGTCATAATGGTTCAGTGTATAACATCGGCACGTCAACTACCATGCCAGATTGCCACAAGGGCTCTTGGGTCACAAGGCAGGTGTGAATTTCAAGGAAGGCCAGGGAGTTTTTCATATCAAATTCTGCGGTGGGATTGTCGATGAAGCAGTCGACTACACTTCTTATATTTCGTTTCTAGGTAGGTTTTCGAGACTTCCATCTCATATGTATGATTTACTACGGGTCCCGTGAACATACTTTTCACACAGAACACACCCAAAATGCAGAAAATGAGAAAAGATCTTTGTTTTTTCCCTTTCTGTCTTAAACTAACCTCTAAGCTTTGAGGCGAGGGACTGACTGTGAAATAAAATTAAAATCTTTGCCAAACTTTCTAGCTGACTGCTCGATTGACCATTTCCAGCAGGACTAGTAGCATTATCATGAACAATAGATTTTACTGGTCGTTTTATCCAGGTCACCCTTTGCCATCTGCCATTTTCAATTAACATTATTTTCAAACATTTCCCATAAAATATGCATAAACCTAAAGTAATAAGTAATAAGAAATCACCAGATTCTTGTCATCATACAAAAGATATATTCTCTATTCTTCATAATTTGACGAAAACATCTTATAGAGTTGTGGGGCTCGAAACACCAAACAAGAGTCAGACAGACCTTTCAGGAGACACCGACCCCTTCTCTTGGTTGTGCAAAACTGTCGAAGGATGCCTAACATGTGGTCTAATTAGTCAACGAGTTTTCGCAGAAGGTCTGGATGAGACCTGACTTGCCAGGAATGTCATCTTTGTCTTCTGACCCTGTGACAACAGTGGTTCTAGAGTGAAATTGTGACGTCACCACGATACTCACGATCTGATATGGCATCCCGTTGACGGTGATGATGAATTACTGCTCCGGTTACGAACTCATCAAGAAGGCACGAAAATTTTTCTACTTTTTTGACAGTTAAATTGAAAACGCGCATTTTTTATGTATTATGTTTTTATGGGTTTTTACGCCTTCATGACTATTCTATGAGCAATATGCGATGTATTCACCCAATTTCGTTTAAGGTGATGAAGGACTGGTAGAAGAAGAATTTTCCCATAATGATATG